AGATACAATGGTGTCACATACAAACATCGCTAAAATAAACACTTCAATTCAGGCATGCATTTCACGAAGTATTTCCATAGTTTTGTCTATCCCCTGTATATCGATGTCATGTTAGCTTTTCCATACAGAAATAAAAGAAATGTAAAACTACTATCATCACATGAAACTAATTAGGACTGTATGTTGTTACCTTGTGTTGCAAAATTTATTTTGTGTTACACCTTACATGTTCTGACTTTCTGGGGAGTCCAGATCAGGGTCATTATCCAATTTACTTCTTGTATATCATATCGTGCTCCCAATGAGGACTTCCCAGAAAGATGATACATCTAGGGTGTAACACAAAATAAATATTAAAAGAGAACTAGTTTTTCTGTTTGAGGTTCTCATGGTGGTGACTATGGAGAATACTGTCTTCTTGGATGTGAAACTATATACTCTGGTAGAAGGCCACCAACATTTCAGAGGAATGTACTGCCTCCATCTTCAGCACTGAGGAGGAAGCCCAGAAACTGCAAGCAGCAAGGAGAATATGTTTGTTCCTCTGAGATGCTGGCTGCATGGTGTCACATCCCAGAAAACCATATTCTTTAAAGGAGAACCTGACAATATATTTATACTGATTTATTGAATTTGTTATTAATACTATGTACATGAAATTAAATGCAGTAGTTATGGATTTAATTCTGAAATGGATCCTGTTTTATTATACTGGTATGCAGAAAACTGAAACCTCGTCATTTGTCAGAAATTTTATTTTTACCGATACCAGCAATTTCCAAATCATTCACATCAGAAGAGATTCAATATATATAATTCAGAGACCGGGAGTGATTAAGTTTGTCAACTGTGATATAGCCAGCACTTACCTGATTGGATGTCTCTTCAGTGTTTCATTCCTACATAAATGTAAAATTTTTTGTCTTCAAAACTTTTTGTAAAGTTTGTATATTTTGGAGATACTGTTTGGTCCATAATGGTGAGAATTCGAGAACTGTTAATATTGTGTAGATTTGATTCTCAGTATTCCACAGAATTTCATGTAAATTTCATTTATCAAAGTACATGTATAAACAACCAAACAGAGATCTGCACACTTAGGGGGTTCCAAATAAGTATGCTCGAAGTTTAGAAATTAAGACTCATACTGTGGTCACAGTCACTGTGTGATTGTGTGGTAGGTTGGTTCTATTTAAAACATCCCTGAGGGTACATCATACCTTGAGTAAGCATTATTATGGAAGAAAAGTCCTGTGTGTTCAATGAAATGCCTGGTATGGTGATTATGGTTCCCATTATGTATTGAAAATAGAATGTAGTAACTTTCTAATGATGATGTAATGGTCTGCATTACTTTCTGATGGTGATACATTCTCAGAAGTATGCAGACATAATATACCACTGTTTCAGAGGAATATACTCCCTCCCTCAACTATATTGGTATGGACGTATCAGACAGCCAGTCATAGCCCAGACAACCACAGTATGAAACTTTGCTGCTGTAAGAACCTCAAATTGAACAGTGGAATGAACTTTATTTTCTGTTGTAAACCATTTCCTCTTTGCAAGTATTGAATGCATCAGTATGCAACAGAAAATGTGTATATTACAGTATTTTCCCGATTGAATGCTTTATATCACTGTAGTTACAATGTTTACACTGGCTTCATAGGTCAGTAATATGAGTAAATTTCTTTTTAAAACACATGAAAAATTTTTATCTGTCTCCATGCTTCTTTGAACTGTAATCTGTGATGCGGTATGGTTCCTTGTTTTATTTTTATGAGAAAACAGTTCTTACACTCTTTGTTTTTTTCCTCTCTTTGTATTCTTTGATGCTATATAACCCTAGAAGAAATGGATTTAGCTGTTAGAAACCATCAGCTCCTACTTGTAAAATTAAATAAGCTACAAACCAATAAACGTATCCATACTGCATTACATGAGCTGTGTTCCCTCTGAAAGGCTGGTACTTGTATTTACCTTCCATTACCTCCAGAGCTGCAAGGGACATGGCTATATGTTTGCCACTGTGTTGATGATGAAAATATCAGATCCTAAATATGTTATTTGTAAGGGCACGTAGTTGATCCTTGGATTGGATTAATTCTAGTCATAAATGTACTAGACACAGGTGAAGTTCCATTGATAATTTTAGCACTATTTAGATTTATTTATAAATGACCTGTATTATATTTTGACTTGTAATGTTGTATTACTGTAACATTATGTAAACCCACTACCGAATACTGCTTAGACTCAAAGTCAGTACTTTGCATTGCAAGCTGCAGTTGAATTATGATAGCATATTATACAAAATGATGATTGATATTTTGACACCAGTCATTTAAGGGTTATGACACACATTTTAATTATGCATTAACCCTCTTTGCAGCTACACCCAGTGCTGAAGGTTCTTTCTTAAAAACTGATTATTACAGTGGAGGTATTTGTGCAAAAGAAGCAGTGTTATATACCAATATTTCTCACAGTTTTGTTGCCATCCCTTTCACATAGTATTACATGCAGAAGACTAGCCTCTAAGCATCAGCCAGAATGGATCATGTCAGGCCTGGCAGGAAGAGGGTTAATGATATGTCCTTTGTATATGACTGTTTTTGATTCACAAGTTTGAACAGAGACTCAGTATAGGAAAAAATCACTATGTAGATGACACTCATCAAGTGATGTTTTTCTTTTTAAATTAAATTCAGAAAATGACTGGCCTACTCAGTTTATGATGCATTATAACAATAAAAACCATTACAGCTTTTTTTAAAAAGAAAATAAATATAATTTATGCTGAATTTTTCGATTTTTTCCCTCAAGTATAGCTTTAAGACAAATTTCTGTATATCATCATTATTCCCAATACTCCTCAAACAAGGTTAGGTTATCCACGAAATGTCACCACAAAGCCCTATTCTCAGCAAGTCTTATAGCTTTCTGTTTTGCCTTTGAGATTTTCCTCAGTTCTCTAATTGGTCTTCCCCACTTCCAGTCCTTTCATTATCATTAATAATTTCGTACAAACTTTCATTCCAAATTGTTGGTTTGAAAATGTTTTCCCTACCTACTTTGGCATTGAAATCTAACAAAATTTTCATATGGTATTTAGGTAATTTATCGAATACATGTTCTAGTTCTTCATAGAACCTGTCCTTTATATCATCACTTTTATATTTGTTGGGGCATGAACATTCAGAACAATGATATCAACATTAACTACTGACGACAAGTATATTAGTGTCAGGTATTAATATCGATGAAATTCAAGGAAGATCTAAACTTATGTTAAATTCCGTAAGTCAGAAGTTTAAATACAATGGCTTATCCTTAAACTTGAGGAAAACTAAAGTGTTAAAATTTGAAACAATCAGTCATGACAATATGCCTGTACATTTAAAGTTTAATGATGAATTATTACAAGAGGAAACTCATATTAAATTCTTGGGCATTGAAATTGAAAAGTTCTTGAATTGGAAGACACAGGTTGAATCACTGTTACCTAGATTGGGAAAGGCATGTTATGCAATACAAATTATGAAAACATATACATAGAAAAACGTATATTCACCTGCTGGTTTGGTGCCAACTCTGTACAATCTGACCTCCTGTACTCTCACTAAATCTAACTTATATTTTGATATTTCTTCTGCCACTGTCCTAAGTGAGCCTGCCTTATATGTACATACTTCTAAAATTCCACGTACTAAATCTCATATCAGTTTTTCGCTTAGGTTGTTTATCCAAAGAATCCGGGCAGGTCCTAGGCTTCTTGTGATCTTGTGTGTTTATTTTTTTACAGTGATGAGTTGTTAGCTAGATGACCAACACCCAGGCTGGAGGACCACTCTTTGTCGGTTGTCCATGACTGCTTATTCAATATATTTGCAGCTACCCTCCATATCTGGAGGCCATCTCTTCCATTTGTAACCTGAGGATGCACCATGCTGTGGCGATAAGAGACCGGCCTAACATGGGGCGTCTCTTTCTACCAATGCTTTTCCCTTCCTTCACGTAAGCCCAAACCTTTTTCTTTATTTTGATGTTGCACTATATGACTAAGCTGTATGTTAGACAAGTAAGGTATTGTGGTTTGACTCCCAGCAAGGACAAGAGATTTTTTCTCTTGTCCACAATGACCTGACCAGCTTGGGCTCACCAGCCTCCATCCAATATATACCAGAGGTAAAATGGTTAGGGCATGATTGTGACTGCTCATCTCTATCTAGTGCCGAGATTGAAACTGCTGTTATCTTCAATGCACCATCTGTCCTCATGGCATGGTGTTTAATTAAGCACAGGGATTTTGTTTTCTTCGGGACTGAATGAAGATATCTAAAAGCCAGCCATGTTCATATTTGTTCTGTTTGGGTCAACAGATAAAAAAGGGTGAGGAAGGGGGAGATAAAGATATGCATTGCTCATATTTAGAATGCTATTGTCTATACTGAAAGGATGTGTCAGGGGTTTGAAAGGGATGGTTGATACTTGAGTGATTCAATCAAGGTTAGGCAGGATGCTAGTAATCCATCACTGAAAACATAGTAAGTAAGTGCATTTAATTTGAAGAGATTTTTAAAGACCTAATCAGAAAACCTGAAGGAAAGAAAGAAACCACCAAGGTACTGAAAGAGGATAATATTAAGGAAACTGGGTCAGGACATGAGCTGGATTCATCTGGCTCAGGACAAGGACCAGTGGCAAGCTCTTGTGGACCTCTTAATAAACATTTGAGGTTGATAACAGATATGAACAGGCTAGCTAGGAGCTTAGCACATGAACCTTGCATGTTTGCCCTTAAAATACTGAAAAATCATTACTGGCCAAGGGAAAAACAATGACAGCCACAAGGCCTCTCGGTATCACTAGCTAGTCAAGAGCTGCCACAAAGCATCTTGGGGACTCCCAATATGATGAACCTGGCATACAGGGACCTAGAAAATCCTAGAACACAGCTATAAATGGGCGCTTTCAGATATAAATGCAATACAAAGGAAAATATATGGCCAGCCATTACAAATGCAAATTTTTATGCATTTGTCATGGAAGACATTTATTGTGCAGGAACTTGATGAAGTAATTATATACATAAAGTATGGCATTAAGCTTTACATTTCACAAAACATCTCAATTGATTCATAAAATTAAATGAAGTGTATCTCTGCTATAAAAGTTAAATAAAAAGAAACGTGTCTATACATGAGATCGAGAAGCACTTAAATTTTGTGTTTAGGACCTGGCTGTTCTGCAGTGCACAGTGGATTTGGTCAAATTCAGTAACTAAGATAAGGCTTGTAGGTTGTGTATGGGTCATAAAAGGGCTTCAGTTACTGTATCTCACCCTCCCTCCCTCCCCCAATTCAGCTGCAAACACTGTTCCACTGCTTTCTGCCATACTTTTCCATGTGCAACCCAATGACCAGTACATATACAGCATCATTTTACAGATCATACAAAGGTGGCATGATATGCATTTTTGTTTATATACAAGTGTAAGCAATCTGACTGAAAACACTTAAGAAACATTTTCACACAGATGCATGATTTAACTAGGCAAATTGAAATGAAATGAGTATGCTAATCATGTACAGAAGAGTCATGAGTCTGCTGTTACAAACTCTATATGCAAATGAAACAGGAACCTTGTTCTAGAATTAGCAAGTAATGTTAGTATATGGGGCCATCATCCAGGTTGTCGTCTTCCTCGTCAAGATAGTTCTCTCCATTATCAAAGTAGCTGTTTATATAGTCAGTTCCCTCATCCATCTCCTCATCCAGATCTTCCTCCTCTAGGTCATCCATCGCCCCTTCTTCCTCTTCTCCTTCCTTCTCCTCCTCCTCTTCTTTCCCCTCTGCTTCTTCACCCCCTCCTTCTCCATCACTTTGTTGCTCTTCCTTCTTCTCCAACTCGTCCAATCTGTCAATGAAAACTATATGATTTCTTTCTTGCTAACTGGAACCCCCATTTAGTGTTTCCTGAATTAAGGTTTTTCCCTCATTTAACATTCAATTTCAATGACCCCAATTCAATAACTGCAGCGTCAAATTGCCTCCACTTAAGATTTATCCCAGTTTAATGCTTAAATCCACTGCTGCTCATAGAAACCTTAAATGAGGCTTTCACTGCAAAGATTATATAGCATTAAGTACCAGAACTGTTGTGATATGAACTGGAAAGGCTGGAGAAGTGATCTTGATCTGTTTTAAGACATTTCTTATGGAATGCAGGGCTAGTGTATTAGATCCAAGGTTCTCAAGCTGATGACTATGAAGAGCACTCCTTTCTGAGAGATGAATACAGAGTAGTCTCATAGGCCATTACAAACATTTCAAAGAAAGCTGTTACCTCCAAGTTCAGGACAGAAGAGTAAATTGTGCATAAAGAAATGTGGTACAGATGTAGGGTGAGGGAGAAATATGGCTAGTGGCACAACTTACTCTTTCATCCACCCTGAAGGTGCAGGCAGCCAATTCTGCTGAAAATCTGATGATCTACCAGACTATATGGCATCATATCCCAGAAAACTGTACTATTCAAGAGTGTCACTGTTTCACAACACAATATGATAATAACTGATGTTTTCTCAGCCATCATAACTTCTTAAAATTAAGAACTGAAAGTCAAAATTTCCTATGTATGTAAGCACCATGGCATGAAGATGTGTGGGTGTATGGAAGCTGCCATTGGGACTCAAACCCAACTCATCCATCATGTGTCTCTACCCACATTTAATTCTGTAAGACCCTGGACCAGTAAAGTACATATTCCAGGCGTTTTATACACTCAAATCAGATTTTATCAAACATGTGAAAACAATAGGATTTGGGGTTCTCACAGCAGTGGGATATAATGCCATGTAGTCCATCGAAAGTCAAGCAATGTTTCAGAGGAACATGTTGCCTCCATCTGAAGTGTTGAGGAATAAGCCAAGCAAGAAACCAACACAGCAAGCAGAGCTCTGCTCACCACCTGCTTTCATGCTGGTTACTTGCTTGGCTTATTCTTCAACACTGAAGATGGAGGTGACATGTTCCTCTGAAACATTGCTTGACTTTCAATGGATTACATGGCATTATATCCCAGACTCTTCACTCTTCATGTGAACAGAGGCTTACTGCATAAAAGATATCTACAGGAATATCCATTCTGAACATTACTTACATCTGATGAAGGGTAAAGGAAAAGTTATTCTCATAATTAAGCATGACACCATGAAGACAGGTGGAGGAATAGCTGCATATATTCTTAACCTTGGCACTAGATGGAAGTGAGTGGTCTGCTTCACCCATAAGGAAAGGGTCCCTAGTATTCACTGGATGAGGCTGGGTAAGCCCCATAATTGGTCTGGATGCTGTGAAGAAGAGAAAAATCTCTTGCCCCCGTCCGATATAAAACCACAATTCTTTGGCTGTCCAGTTCGTAGCCTGTCTTTATGTCAACTGGGCTATCCTGACTCCTTAAATTTGGCATATATTTTACAAAATATAAGAAAAGTTGGTTAACGCAGGAGTTATAATGAGCCTATGTAAAAAAAGAGAAACTTCTACACTACATTTCAGTCAACTTTGTCAGGTGGTTTAGCACAATTGTTCCAAGATGTTTTTTACTTGGTACCCCCTGAAATAATTCAACAAATGTATGGACCACCCTCCCCCATAAAAGTCCTTGGAAAATACAAAATTTAATTTTGTTAAAGCTCTTGTAATGTATACAAACTCCGTGGCCTGAGTCCGCAAGCGAACTATACCGACTGAGTGACCACCGCTTGTCGGCAAAGTTAGTGCCAACTTCTGCGAATAGAGGGTGTCATGTAGTCAGTGCAACGGAACCCCACAGCCGTTAAGCTCGGTTTTCTAGACCAGAGCAGCTATTTCCTTGAAACAACTCCTCAATTATCCTCATGAGGCTGACTGGACACCAGTCCAGATCCACTATCTCAGAAAATCTGGTAGCTCCGCAAATCGAACTTGGGACCTCTGACCACTAGACCACATCTTGTAATATAAATGAAAAATATTCACCTTTATATCTGTCATGTACAAGCTTGTTCTTATCCCCTGAAAGCTTTTTCGGCATCCCTAGTGATACCAATACCATAAAGATAAAAGGTAAAGTTCTTCCTGTGCTTAACTTATTAAGTACCACACCATAAAGGTGTATGGAGGAATAGATGTATAGGTCCACGTTTTCTTGACCTCAGCACTAGCTGGAGATGAGTATACCACAGTATGAGAAATACTGGTTTAACAGGTATCAGATTGAGTGCCACTCTTGTATAAATGACTTACTGAACTGAATTAGAGTGTTTTTGTACCTTAAGAATCCCCAGTGCATCTTACAACCTCCTCACAAGATACCCAACAATAGAAAGCCATATAACCTGTTAACAATATCCAAAGATTTTTTTGTGAGTTTTGCCTCCCTTTCTGTAGCTTTTGTCCGCCGCTTCCGTTTGCCAGTTAACCTTGCTTGTGGTCTCAACTCTGAGGGGAATCGTGTCCAATCAAACTTGAGATCTCCATGATTCTTGTTTGCCAAAGCCACCTGGTAGCGGTCTGAGTATCGTTCAATATCTGCCTTGGTTGCTACAGGTGTGACAAACGCTGGTGAATCTCGCAGGAACTCCACAAAGTCTCGCTTCAGTGCCATCATGTACTCTCCTTCCACGCCAGTTTGGAGAGGGATGGGTCTGTTCTCCATTGGTGGATAAATGGGCGGTGGCTGCAGAACAGGTCCTGGCAGGGCCTCTCCTGGGCTGAACCCAAGCTGTTCCACACTGAAAGACATGGCTGCTCGTCCCCTCCCACGGCCACCTCCTCTACCTCGACCAGCCATTTTGCTATTTCTCACTATGCAGTGATCTTAAGATTTTCTTTGTTGGAACTAGGTTCTTTCTCTTCTTCTTCGTCCTCTTTCTGAAATTTTTCCTGAAGAAAATGCACAAAGTAAAACTGGATGTAAAAAATAAAATGGTTAAAGTGCAGATTACAGCTCAGATCCACACAAATCCACAAGCGTTCCATCCTTCTTGTTTTGGATGATAAAGTCTCTGATTATGAGATATTACTTTACCTTAAGGGGATCTGTACCATAATCTACACTTTTCCAAATAAAATATCTCCACCGTTTAATTAACAGATAATCTTGTTCATAACAACCTTGGCATGCATCTTATCTCTATTTTGGCGTTAATCTATCCACTTATGAAAGTGACTGGAACATGACTGCAACCACTTTACAATTTGTAATCCATAATGGAACTCTGGCGATTTTCTGAAGGTAACTAATAAAAGCTTGCAAGACACAACAGTCCCTGGGCAGTTCATAATGTGTTTCATGTGGTTTAAAGAGGTGTTGATAACGGAGAACTTCCATTAAGGCTACTGATAGATTATGTCTGGAGTCTTCAGGTTTTATGAGTATGCCAGGGAAATATATTTACGTTAAATTATAAAACCTGCACCAGGATATACACAGCAAGTAAAATTTAATTAATTAGCCTGAAGCAAGTCCTTTCTGCAGGCATTCCGTTCACATATCCATCTCAAGTTTTAATAATATCCACTGATGACATGAACTTACAAGATCATATATAACTTTAACAATCAGGGAACAACTGGGGCACGTTGCAACTTCTTCACCAGCTTTCAGCTCCTCCTGAAATAATGTTATAATTATTTTTTGTAAGAAACCACATGGTCAAGATTTGTCACACAACTCTCAACATAAGCACCTTAGTAATTTGAAATCTGTCCCCACACGGGCAAGGATAGTAATACGTTTCTTCCTCCTCGTCGTATTCAAAGTCTTCAATTTCAATTTCGTCATGATACACTGACATAACTTTTACAAACCTAAAACGGTCAGAATTTCATGGTTAGGAATTTGGGTATCGGGTAAGAGAAATGATATCAACATACGAGAATAATCGATATACCTCCACTGTTGGGTTATGTTGTTACACCTGGATGATGTCTCGAAACGGAGCCGGAGAGTACTTTATTTACGGTCTTAAGTCGAACGGCTAGTGAACATTTTGGAAGTTTTTGTTTGCGAGTGCTAATGATGACCCGCTAACGTTCCTCCTTCCTTATTGTGTTATATTCGTTAAATACCGTTTTAAATATGGCAGGAAGCTATTATTTTGCAATAGTTGGTCACTTAGACAATCCAATATTTGAAATGGAACTTCCATCGGCAAGTAAGGAAGTCAAGGTGAGATTATGAACATTGGCGTAACCTCGCAAGTCCACTTGCAGAAAGATTTGTGTTCGGCTATTAAATATAAATAAAACCCGGATTCTCTTATAGGTTAGACAGCCAGTTATGTAGACATGATTTTTGTTTTGTATTAAAATATTGCATAAAACCCAAAGGCAGTAAAAGTGAACTTAGTCACCACTTTGTTGTAAAAATTTAGAAGTGTTAAGTGTAATCATACAGGAAGCATAAATCTGTTACGTTACTTCGCCATAATATAACTTCCTTGATTTGCATATGTGGTAATATGTCTTTTTGTCTCAGAAAGAAGATCACAGACATCTGAATCAATTCATAGCACATGCAGCTCTGGATTTGGTGGATGAACACATGTGGAGGACTAACAATATGTATCTTAAGTCTGTTGATAAATTCAATCAGTGGTTTGTGTCAGCATTTGTCACTGCAAGTCATATGAGATTCATTATGGTGCATGACAACAAAAATGAAGATGGAATAAAAAATTTCTTCATGGAAATGTATGAAACATATATAAAAGTAGGTATTGTGTTCATTATGCTTACAGATACCATTGAAATCAGTAAACTCGTTATACACAATTAATGCGAAAGAGATTTTGAGAGTTGTGTTGTGACTGATAAACAACAATTAATATTTTACATATACTTGGTTGATTGGAATGTAAATGAGAGAGGAGCATGATCCATGACTCTTTCTTCATAAGGAAATAAAGATTCACAGTTTTATTTTATATTATATACTTATAATGTTGCAACACCTTGATTTAGGTTGGCTAAGTAAGAAGAATTAGCCATCATCATGACACTTCTGTAAAACTTTGATTAAGTATTAAAATAAGCTGTCATGAATGGTGGTATATGACAGGCTTTGAACGGGTTAATGTTGGCAGACACTTAGTATTTAATTTCTTTCATTCATTTATTTGCAGTTCTACAAAATCCATGGAGGCATCTGCCTCAGATATAGAACAAGTCAGCAATACAGTATAACATGTGAATGTACTTACATAATCAGATAGTCATCATCGTCAAAATTTTAAATACTCAATACAACAAGACTACTGTACAACAATGTATTCCATATATCAAAATAACATATAAAATTACATACAATTCTAATTTCTTGTTCCATCACATCCATTTGAGGCCGGAGCCGGAGTCTTCTATGTCAATGTTTACTGTGGGTCTTAAGTTGCGGTACGTGGTGTCAACACAATGTTTTCCTGAGCCTAAGAACAGTATTTACAGTATTTTCAGTTTTCACATTGGTACATCAAACAAATTCTGCTTTGGCAGTGAGGTGTGTCAAGAAGGAATGGATTTCCAGCATTTCAGATATTGTTACTATTTCCATCATCAGGGATTTATTTTGTGAGCAGTGCCAGGTTGTGTTAATAAATACAGTTTTGTTTACATTCCCTATAGAACGGATAATACTTTGTAAGATGAGGCACCGACTAAATAATTAACATTAATATTACTACATCTACATCATGAGCCTCCTATAACAGTTTTTATACACAAAATATAGAATACTCTAATTTGTCCATGGGAACGAAACAAAATCACAAAAACCGATGACTGACTCGATGATGTAAAGCATCAATCGAAGAATTTTATTCTTGTTTTATACTATAACTT